TCCTGCAGCTGTGGGCTGCACACAGGTGCTAAATAATTTAAAATAATGTATTTTAAATAAAAATTCCCTACCTATCGTGTGGCTCATTCATCAATCAGCCAATTGTGTGTCATGTCCAATCTTACTTTGAAAAACCACCATAGAGAGAGTCCTCAAAAAACTAACAGTGAAGTAGTGAGGGACTACTGTAGTCTTTTTTTTTTTTTTTTTTGAGAAGAATGCATTTCTTTAAAAAAGTTTTTCTTTCTATCCAGGCTGCAGCAGAATCAGCAGAGGCCCAGACAATTCGAACAGTTCAACAGACCCTGGCCTCCACCAGCTTGTCCCCAGGCCTGGTGCTGCCCTCACCCCTCAACCAGCACCCCAACATGCCATCAGCCTCGCAAGCCCTCCAACAAGCTCTGCCACGAGCCATTGCCCCAAAACCTCTGCAGATGAGACTGGGGGGCAGCCAGATTGTGACCTCTGTTACAGTTTCCCACCAGAACATGTCCTCCGGGATGCCACCACAAATGCTTGGCCAGATGGGTACTGGAGGAGCCATGGTGGCAGGTGCTCAGTCCACAGCGGTGTCACAGATGAGTCCACCCATGCAATCGGTGCAACAGCATGCCATGCAGCAGCTCCAGCAGCAGCAGCAGCAACAGCAGCAGATGCAACAACAACTCCAGCATCATCAGATGCAGCAGCAGCAGATGCATCACCAACAAATCCAGCAGCAGATGCAGCATCAGCATTTTCAGCACCACCTTCAGCAACAACTGCAGCAGCACCACATGCAGCAGCAGCAACAGCAGCAGCAGCAGCAGCAGCACATGCAGATGCAGCACATGCAGATGCAGCATCAACTGCATCAGCAGCAGATTCAGCATCTCCAGCAACAACAGCAACAGCAGCAGCAGCAGCAGCAGCAGCAGCAGCACCAATCCCAGTGTTCCCCACCCCAGCACTCTCCCGGTACCCCCCACTCAGTAGGAGGCTCTGCATCTCTTGGCAGTCCTCAGCCAGCTCCACAGCAGCAGCAACCACACCCTTCCCAAATCCAGGCCCATGCCCAGGTCCTGTCCCAGGTCAGCATTTACTGAGCCAAATGGAAATCCTATCTCAAAGAACAGGAATAGAATAAAAGCATCATCCCATGTTGCTTTTCTAAGTTGCACTTAAGAAGTGTGTCAGATTTAGAATGTTATACAAAGAACTTGTCCATTATTGTAGACAGATATGCACATACGTGTACAGGAATGAGGGGGGTGGTGGACGTTTGAGCTGGGTTTAAGTTCATGAATAACGCTGAGAAATGACAGCAGCTTGTTTGTTGGTGAGTCTCTCAGTTGTTAATTTTAACTGACTGGGCACAAAAAATGCTGAAAGATATTTATCTTTCTCTCTTTTATTTAACAATAAAGCTTTATTTATGAGGCCAGTATGTCAGAACATTTGGATTTTTTTTACATTTATTGCCTGAGCTGAACCCCCACACAGCAGTCTTTGTTACCACACTGTCCAATATATAGAAGACTTTCTTTCCTCCATCATTGTTACAGAAGTAACTGTTCAAATCCACACACTGTGAAGGCTCAGTGATATCTGAAGACGGAGTCAAACCATGTCAAAAATGCAGACAATGTCTTAGACGATAGAGAACTGGACATAAAAGGTCTTTGGACACAGTTATATGGATGAATGACTGAACAGACTGAGACAGAAACTGCCATAAATCATTCACGTCATAGCAACATCAAACCGGAGCTGTGATCTGCTGTACAGGTTTTGTAGAGAGGAGAGGGACGACATCTCATATTTCAAGATCATTTGCCCAAAAATGTGTAACCGGCAGTCTCGCCCACTTTGCCCTCCCACCCAAAAATACTTTGTTTTTATGTCAGATGTTTAACAATTAAATTATGTTTTTATTTTGTGTAACAAAAGGGATATTTTATGGTAAATTAAAAATGAAAAATCTGAATTGAGGGAGATGCTTTGGGGATTTATGAATTTTCACTCTGCTTGTTGATGCTGTCATTGTTTAAGAAAAAAAAAAAAGAAAATAGAAAAATAGCAGAGCCAGTTTGTTGCACTGCCAAAGCAAACTAAAAAAAGTTATTGGAGGTATTTTTTGCCAGCTGTACAGAAGTCCCTAGCGGAGTTTAAAAAAAACAACAACAAAAAAAACGGAGTTGTACATTTTTCATATCACATGTTGTAAAGTTTTAATATGTGAGGCTTTAATTAAAACATTGTTAAATGACCTGTGGATTGCTGTATCACATAGTGCATTTCTGCTCTTTTATACTTTTTTATGAGTTACAATAGCAGCAGTTAATTTTGTTTGTATTTTGCTTACAAACCAACTGTATATGAGAACTGTCTATAGGATAAATGCATATTTGGTATGAAGTTTTCCTCAAAGATTGTTTGCAGCTCATGATAGGAAATTTATTGTTGGGAGTTTTTGCTCAGCCATGAAGACAATTCCAGAGGCATTCCATCACTAATATGATCGTAGCCATAAATTTTGTATGAAGTATTATATATTTCTTTGTGTCTCTGTTGAAAATTAAACTATCAGTCAAATATTTATTTGGAGAAATTGGTTTCTTTGAAGCCATCTTTTCAATGAAGGGTTTTTGCACAGTATATCACACTATCACTGTGTGCAATATCAATACGTTAAAGGATTGCACTAAATCACAGACACAACCTGTATGCCAATAATGCAGAGATGAGCAACGTTTCTTTTTTTCTTTCAAAGGGCCACATCAAGATATTTAAAGCTATCAAAGTGACGCATAGAAAATTGAAAAATACATGTTCTTTATGACAGATAATCTATAAGATCTTTATCAGGTTTTGTTTTATTGTAGCAAGTTAGCATGCTTTATAAAACATGTATTTCCAATATCCCCAAAGTTCATGCTCAATAATCCAGGTAAAATCCAACAATGTTCAATCAGGTCATCTGGATGGTTTCTTTTTTAAGATGAGACGTTTTGTCCTTCATCCAAAGGACTTCTTCAATCTGAGGAGCCACCAAACAAAACTGATTCTCACAAACAGCATATTCCATAGTAGAAAAAAAAAAACCAGTTTGCTGATGCTAAACTGGCCTCTGGGGCCCGCCCTCTCCCCTGTCAACTTCTCTGAGACAGTCATGCCAAATTGGTTCAAAACACCAATGTTCATGCTCAATAATCCAGGTTGTTATGGGAATCAGTTTTGTTGGTGGCTCTTCATATTGAAGAAGTCCTTTGGATGAAGGACAAAACATCTCAGCTTAAAAAATGAACCCATCCAGATGACCTGACTGAACATTGTTGGCTCTTTCCAATATCCTTTAAGGAATATGAGGCATAATCTGTAAACTGGCTCTTGTGACATCATATTATATATACGGTAGCTTAACGTGTTATACATGTTAGCGGAAATATGCAAAGTAAAGTTATATATTTGTGTTTCTAATGTTCAGTCTAGTTCTGGAAACACAATGACAAAAAATGTTTAAAAAAATGTTTTAAAAAAAGTTTTGCATAAGATATTTAATTTAAATTCTCTTGTCTTGTTGATAATTTGCTGGTATTTTATCAGTCTTTATTTTAAAAACTTTTTTTTTTTTTAACTATGGATATTGGGGGCCTGATGGAGATCGTCCAAGGGCCACTTTTGGCTCTCGAGCCTTAAGTTGCCCACATCTGACAATGTGTTGGGCCATAATTGCCCACAGCCAGTTTAAATAGAGGTTGAGCTGCTAAAGAACAGTAAACGTGTTGATCCTCATGGAAACAGAATAAAAGTTAGAAAAACCGTGGCTTCATTTCTACTGATATTGCACTGGTCAGCAATATTAACTCAGCTGCATGTTTTCCTGATATGGTGCAGCCCGACTTCCTCCACATCTCGATCATCAATCAATATAAACAAACCTAACTGTAATTCTAAGCTATTCACAAGGTATAAAAAAGGGATGTTTAAAAAAATAATAATACTTTGGAGGAAAAATGTGAACATTCATGTCAGCTCTATTGTAGTACAGCTATTTCTCAGTGATTTGAATGGAATCTCATGTAATTGTGTTGAAACTGGACACTTGTCTCAAAAACAGTGCCCATTCAAACACACCATTGGATTCTGCTTCTTTCTTGCTCCCTTCGAAATCGCTTCATTTCCAAGACATCCCCGGGGGGTTTACTGAGCTCCCTTGAATAATACGCTGAGCGGGGGAGGGAAGGCAGGCAAACAATAATTATCATATCTTTACAATAAGCTGCAAATCCATTGGCCAGGAGACGTTTTCCACCTTTTTCAAAAGCAGCTGCGAGATTTTAAACAAGTTATTGGTAATTACAAATTAGGATTTTTTTTTTTTCTCTGAAGTTTCTGTGACGGCGGCTTGACCAAATGTTCACATGTGAGCTTGTTTTCAATCAGCTCGTCTGAAGAAAGCATTTGTAAGTTGAAGTCGAGGCCTGACTCCACTGCTGCCGCAGTGATTGGCTTTTCAGCTCGACATGGAAATGATTCCCATTTCTCTGCCGTGATTAATTGCAGCATCTGTCCTGTCAGAAGCCCGAGCGAAGAGGTCTGCGGGAAAACTGCAAATAAGCACTGGCAACAGTCTTAAAGTGCTTATGATGAAATGAAAATTAAAAACAGCAAGTGCCTCGCCTGACCTGAATCCTAATAAAGAGGGGAGAAGAGGAGAATGTGAGAGAGGGGTGTCCATGGATACCAAACACATGCTTTAAAAACACACAGTAATGAGGCTCTGCGAAAATCGTTGTTATTATTCCGAACAGATTCACAGCAGAGCCCATTAATAATGCATGGAGCTCCTTGTTATTCCATAACCCCTCAGTACTGCGGTCACTG